TGAACTCTTCGGGTCTTTTTCTCTAGAATTCCTTATTTTGCTAGGAAGCAGTGACAAAAACAAGCAAACAGCCAATTAAGTTGAAGGCCAGAAGATGGTGGAGAAGCAGGTTTAACCGATTCTTTGGAGAGTGGTTCCTAACCTGTTTATGTTTCTGTGTTACAGGAGTAACTTTCATTTGTTGAGGAAGAATGAGAAGTTACTGAGAGAGCTGAAGAACCTGGACTCACGGCAATGGTAAGAAAATATGATGATTACTACCTCCTTTTAAAAAAGATCTCTTTTAATCTTTTCTGCTTTTCCACAATTTATTATTTAATTTTAGGGCTGTACAATTATATGTAACTGTCAATCAAATGGGAATATGGTCTATTGCAGGAAACACAATATTTGGTAAAGGCTAAATATTTGTTAAAATGCCTTTTTGTTAATGAAGTCTTTTGGAACTGGTGAGATATCCCGGCCTAAAGATTCTATTCGACTGACTCAAAAGAGTTTGCTACAGATCGCCTTTAAAAATCACAGCATGATATTTTAATATATGTTTAAATGATATTGATAATAATGATGCAAAAATGATCACTTTCTTCTTTTTAGTAATCACAATATCAGTCAAAGATAATCGCAAATAATACATTTTGTTAAATTGCGCAGCCTTATTTTATTCCCTCTCTGAAGTTTTTTCCTTAAGAGTTGTGACATTTAACATTCTATAAATATGAATTTAAATGCATTTAAAAAGTCTGACGAATAGTGTTCAAAGGGTTCGTAACAGTTATAATATATATTGTGTCATGCCTTTATATATATATATATATATATATATATATATATATATATATATTAGGGCTGTCAAACGATTACAATTTTTAATCAGATTAATCACAGCTTAAAAATTAATTAATCATGATTAATCACCATTCGAACTATGTCCAAAATATGCCATTTATTTATGTATATTGTTGTGGGAATGGAAAGATAAATGAAAGAAGGCGGATATATCCATTTAACATACAGTATCTATGTTTATTATAACATTTTTCTGCGTGTCAAAATGAAAGACAACCCACACACCTATCAATCATCAAACCGTGTAGGGTCTTAATTCATTACGTGTTGATTTCTATCAACGGGGGAGTACTTCAGGAAAGTCGACAGGGGGGGGGGGCTAGTGGAGTACTTCGTGACCACAGAGTGTGAACGTTGTGATCAGCTGTTTTAGCGCAGTTCTCCAGTGAAGGGGGGGGGGGCACAACCCTCATGGCCAACATTTAAAAAGTACATTTCATTACATTTAACGTTAACAGCAGCCCTGTCTGTGCACACGGAGACCGACTCTGTCGTCCGGTGATCTAACCGCCTTCTGGAAAAGCTTCACAAGTACGTCGGTACGCAAATGCGCTTTGTGACACAAGTGACGGTACGCATTTCAGATTACGCACATAACCTGCGTACCAGTTATGTGCACCCCTGAACTACAGCAAAAGTATTCTCCGTCGGGACTTCCTGCAACAACACCACGCCATTATCTTGATTCTGATTGGCCAGAAGACATTATCAAAGATGTTCTATTGAGAAGACAATCACTACGTGACAAAAGTTTTCAAAACCGTTTCTGGTCTTCGGTATTTCCTGCTGAAATCAATCTTACTAACTGCTGTCTGTGCAATTCTCGGCGCGAGTTGGCGGGCTTTATTTTGCTTACTTTAACATCATTTTTCATGGTGGGGCTAAGCCATTTCTTGGTATGGGTGTACCCCAGCCATACCCTGGCGCTGCGACTGGTAGGATGTATGGGGCGGGCCATTCTGCACATGCGTTAAATGCGTTAAATATTTTAACGTAATTAATTAAAAAAAATAATTACCGCCGTTAACGCGATAATTTTGACAGCATTAATATATATATATATATATATATATATGATATATTATATTCCTCTGTCTGCAACTGATATTCCGTAGCTGTCCTCTCGGTAGTGATCGGTTTCCTTCTTTTCCTTCTAGCCGGGAGACTCATAAAATAGCTGTATTTTATGTGGCGGAGGGCCAAGAGGACAAACACTCTATACTGACCAACACCGCGGGCAGCCAGGCGTACGAGGACTTTGTCTCCGGACTGGGCTGGGAGGTAAGAACACTTTCATCCACACAAGTGTACCAACAGCAGGAACTGAGCCCGAGTGAAGGGGGGAGTAGTGAAGCAAGTAAACACAAATTATTAACACGAGGCATGAGTTTGCTTCACGTCACGTGAACACATCTTACGACAGCACTAAGATAAAAAGGGAGTTCATATTTGTATACATCCTGATGGTGTGTGTTTCCCCTTCAGGTGGACCTCACCACCCACTGTGGCTTCATGGGAGGCCTCCAGAGGAACCGCAGCACGGGCCAGACCACGCCTTACTACGCCACCTCCACCACAGAGGTCATCTACCACGTCTCCACCCGCATGCCCCACGACCAGGACCACAACCTCACCAAGAAGGTAACGCAGAACCTTTCAGAAAAGTATAGAAGTTTCCACGGTTTAATATCCTCGGTGCAGTTAAGGGAAAGGCCATTTACTAATTTATACACACTGATGTTTCAAAATGTTCTGATTTGCTTGACAGTTGAATGAATATGTCTTCTTTGTGTCAAGCACTCTACATTTAACGATCCAATCATATGCTGCGCTTCCCTCTTTCTAAATGCAGTCGAGTGAGCCTCTGTAGTGGCAAAGACACGATTATTAGTACAAATAATCCTCCATGCTTCTTGTCTCTCTGGGTGTCTTTTATCCAACTTTTCTTTTATATGGATTATCAAATTGCACTTTTAAAAACCTGAGTGAAAACCTAAAGTTTGTGGAAACAAACTGATATACGCATCAACAAAAATGTACCGCGAATTCGCTAAAGTGCACTAGAAACGGCTTTAACAATTAAAGGAAGACTTTCTTTCCATATTATATACATATTTTATATATCATTTAATTCCATTCCTCAATGGAAGGTGGGTGTCTCTAATTTCAGCCAATTCCTTGTGAAATCTTTTTGCTTGCTGCCAGAAGATCTTGATGTTCCAGCCATCAAATGAGATGTCTTCCACACAGGATACAATCCAAATTAATTATATTTATGTTTATGAATGTATTGCCAAAAATGCGCAATAGCCTGTAAGATATGGAACCAGTGTTAATTTGGGCAGCTATTTTAGATTTAGTCTTAGTCTTTAGACGAAAATGGTTATTAGTTTTAGTCACATTGTATTCCTTTTTATCCTTCATAGTTTTAGTCCAGTTTTAGTCGATGAAAAATCATTACATTTTAGTCAACTTCTAGTCAAAATGTTTTCTCTCTTTAAGCCAATTCAGTTAGGCAAATACAGGTTTCTGAAATTGGAATCACGGTGACAGCATCAAGTGTTGAAATTCATAAAGCAACATTTCACTCTCAACACTTGTGTAATATCTAGGGATGGGTATCATTAAGGTTTTAACAGTGCTACTACTCTTATCGATCCGGTACTTTAACGGTATTCTTATCGGTACTTTTTGTTATTTAAAAAAAGAAGAAGATACTAAACAAATGTAAACCGAATTAACATTGCTTTATTTAAATGTAAAATATATATAATTATGTTATTATATTGTACTGTAGGTTCTTGTACTTTACTGGAGTATTTAAATGTTTTGCTACTTGGTACTTCTACTCCACTACACTTCAGAGGTAAATGATGTACTTCTACTCCACTACATGTATTTAATACCTTTAGTTACTTTACAGATGTGGATGAATGATGTGAAATCTAATCAAGTGATAAATCAGACTCTAGTTCCACCTGGAGTAAATCCACAAGCTACCCTGCAGGGTTTTTCTCAATGTCGAGTAAAGCTGCTGCAGAGCCAATATTTCAAGCATACTGAAGTACTGTTCAAATGTCCAGCATACTTGGAATTCTACCGAGCCCGGCGTACTTCGTTTGGATAAATCTCGAGGCTGCACATGTGTAGACTCCGGTCTTAAAATCCCCACAATGCTTTGCGCACGGACCAATTTCCCCAAATCTGTGGCGGAAAATGTAAGGCGGGGCCTCTCAGATGAAGCACACCTGCACACTTGCTCGCCTGTTCCACTCTTCGTTTTCCGAATGCCAGGAAGTATTCTTGCCTCGCTTCTGAAGCAAGACGCTCGGAAGACGTGCTACCAAGCAAGCGTACTCGACATTGAGAAACACCCAGTGTCATTCAAACTAGCTGCACCTTTACCAGCTTTGATAACACTTTAATGACCAATCATTATAAAACATATCATATATATTATTCTGAAATGGATCAATCTGCACAATAATTACTTTTGGTACTTTACCTATATTTTGATGCTAAAATTTCTACTTTTACTTGAGTAACATTTTGAATGCAGTACTTTTACTGTAACAGAATATTCCTACAATCTGGTACTTTTTGACTTAACTACAAGATCTGAGTACTTCTCCCACCTCTGCGCACCTGATGTGATAACGTTACACAACCTACACACGTGATGCCTTTTGGCCAGATGTTTGGACAGACTGCTCGTTACCGCGCTTATGCGAAAACACTAATGGCAAACAAGCTTTGTAGAGTGTCACTATACTTTTGAACTCTCCGTCCCCGGCAAAAAACGAAATTAACACTGTATGGAACTAATAGAACATTTATTTAGGTAAGTCTCAAACATCTACACGGACCCGGAGGCAGGCCTGAATCAGTGGGTGGGCATTTGTTTTTCGAGGGCAGGTTTTTTGATCTTGCTGATTAAATGTGATATGTCCGTATCTGTACAGTATGTGACATATGTGCGTCTGGATTTCACTGAACTGAAAATTGCATAGTTGCAGACATATATTTGCATTCATCCGGTTTTGAACAAGCAGGGCAATTCCGGGGCGATTCTCCCCCACAATTGTTTTATAAAAAAGGATCTATTGAAGTACGTAGGTAATCTCGTCGAACCAATCCTTTATAACATAAATCCGTTGAAATGTGCGATGCACTTGTATTGAAACCTGGCTTATGTTCTTCCCTTACAATGTGTTTTTGTTTTCCGCCTCCCAATCCCTATATTTGCGTCCAATGAACATATGTGGCTGCACACACACCTATCTGTTTGTGTTGGCGGTTCTAAAGCACATCGATGTTTCCAATAACTCTGAGCAGCAATCGTGTTTGTGCGCGGTGCAGGTCGTATCAGCGTCCAGGCAGGCACTTTGATTGTGTGTTAGGGGGACACTTGTGTGTTAGTGTATGTGTGTGTGTGTCTCTGTGTGTACACCTGTCAACCCTCAGGCATTGGGCGCCCTGCACATGGCCATAATGTCCCTTTAATCAGATCATACTTCCTGCTTCTCGGCCTATCACGTCGCTGCAGGCTCCTGATTGGATTATCAGCGCCTGGTCCGACACCATCCGTCTCCCTGATCAGCTGATGGCCCCATCAAACACACACAAGCACAAACACACACATACACAGACTATAAACCTGTATTTAACTTGACACAAACACACATCCACTAAGGGCTTTATTCACATCGGCCTGCACAAATAACCACCCGGCTATAAATGTGCGTTAATGTTGGACACACACACACACACACACACACACACACACACACACACACACACACACACACACACACACACACACACACACACACACACACACACACACACACACACACACACACACACACACACACACACACACACACACACACACACACATTACACTCGCACATGGTACAGGCTTACAAACACTCAGTTTGACAAATGTGTCCACAAAGAGGTTAAAGTGACGGACATACACATGTCCATACTGGCAGGCATTCATCCTCTTACCACACACACACACACACACACACACACACACACACACACACACACACACACACACACACACACACACACACACACACACACACACACACACACACACACACACACACACACACACACACACACACACACACACACACACACACAGCTCTCACTCTTTGCTGTGTGTTCTGTTTCCTCTCATACTACATCTGCTTGAAAAAGGATTAAAGCTGCATTACAGCAACTGATTGTGGAATCAAAGATGACGGCAACCCAATCTTCATTGTTGAAATATTTAAGAATGTAGAGATATTGATCAGAGACGACAGATTCCACCTTTCCTTATTCACACTGTGCCACTTTATTGTTCTGAAATTCAAAAATACAGCGTCAGGGTCATAATGAGAATATCTTTAAATGTGATATGTGCAGAGCCCTTCACCTACCAGATGAAATGTGAAACACTGTCAGGGGGAAGTGCAGCTAAAGGATTGATCACTTTAAGAAGGACTTGATAAATTACAGAAGAGGATAAAGGCAAGGCAAGGCAAGTTCATTTATATAGCACTTTTCAACACAAGGCAATTCAAAGTGCTTTACAAAAAATGAAAGACATTAAGTAAATGGCATTTAAAATCAGTCATTAAAAAGAAAAGCTAATAAAATAAACATTAAAAGAAAAAATAAACATGGATAAAAGTTACAGTGCAGTCTAAGATATGAATAGTTCAATAAAAAAAAAAGCCAATTGTCAGAAGATTCTGACATTAAAGTCATAATTCTGAAATGTATTTTCACTAATTCTCAGAATTATGATTTTAATCTCTAAATTCTGATTTATTCCCCCAAAATTCTAACTTTAATCTCAGAACTCAAAGTCTCTTTTGATCAGATCTCAAAACAAAATGTGGCCCTAATCCTGTTCCGTAATAAATACACATGTTTTCCCTAACATATTTCCGACTTTGCCTAATCTGTATCATTAGCAGTGGCGAACCGTCAGGGCCTTCAAGGTATTCAGAGAATACCCTGGAACACTCAGATAAAACAAACAAATAATTGATTTAATTATATAAATAAAATGTAATAAAATGAATAAAGGAGAATGGTATCTGTGTTGTTGATCTGTAATATTACAGTGTTACGTTGATTTATTTGTCCTTCTCGGACCATGCCCTACGCATTTCAGTGGTTTTGTGTTAGAAAAGAAAGCAACCAATCAGATCTTGTTCTGGGTCTCTGGGTAGAATATCCTTCAACCAAGGTATTCTACATCCTTGATCGAATGCCCTGGCCGTTGCACTGAATGAGAGCGTACGTTTGGACTGACAGTTTGATCAACCAATCATATATTGATTTGTAGCCAATGGGCGTATTCTTTCAGAGTTCCCCTCGGTTCCAGGGTATTCTAGAAGGCCCGCTAGTTAACTGGCTCGAGACGGAGGATCTCGATGAGTGCGACGAAGCAATTCATGCCTGTGTGTCTACAGAAGGTCCAGTTGTGATACACGGTTCGCCACTGATCATTAGTCAAGGTGAAGTCAGGTTAATTAAAGCAATTACTACATTTAAAGTTCAAGTAGTGTCATTATGGCACTTCCAAACATGATGATGAACTAATTCACCATGTGAATCATTTTAACGAATAGACGTCACCTTGATACTTACGCATTTGATTACATTAAGACAATTATTTTGTGCAAATGCAGCATTATCTGATGAGAAATCTACAGACACAAATGAACACGTTCTTTTCCACTTGTTGAACATGTAATGGAACCAAAATATCTCCAACAGTTTTTGCTTTAAATCAACCTCAGACTTGCTGTATATGGCAATTAGTTGAGTTGCATGCGTGGAAATAAAACAACATTAAAAACATGTAATAAAATGGTGTGGTTCACCGTTGAAAGAAATATGTATGCAAACCATACTTCATCATCCCTAATCGGCATCACTCAAACATTAAATAATGGCTACTTCTACATTACACCCATAATACACTGCTATTACACCAACATCACACATTACTACACCCCTATTACTCTGTTATTACACCAATGTTACATAGTTATTACACCCGTATTACACCCATGTTTCTCCACTACTACACCCTTATTGCAACCACATTTCATTTCAAACCTTTATTTATCCAGATTGGTCCCATTGAGATCATAGATCTCTTTTTCAAGGGAGACCTGCAGCAATTAGGTTCCACATAAAACATAAAACAACATAAAACAATAGAGGATATCATACAACATATAACAACATTTCACTGTTATTACACCCATTTTACAAATGGACACAGCCAATGACTATATCCCAGAGAATACAAAAAAGCTTTAAGAGTAAAAAATCTTCACAGGTAAAAAAACACACAACTGATTGCAATTTATCAAAAAAGACACTGTTTTTGTCTCTTGACCGAAGCCAACAGCAACAGACATCTGAAGGTGTGAGACAACTCAGAAAAGTGTGTGTGTGTGTGTGTGTGTGTGTGTGTGTGTGTGTGTGTGTGTGTGTGTGTGTGTGTGTGTGTGTGTGTGTGTGTGTGTGTGTGTGTGTGTGTGTGTGTGTTGTGATGTGTGTGTGTGTGTGTGTGTGTGTGTGTGTGTGTGTGTGTGTGTGTGTGTGTGTGTGTGTGTGTGTGTGTGTGTGTGTGTGTGTGTGTGTGTGTGTGTGTGTGTGTGTGTGTGTGTGTGTGTGTGTGTGTGTGTGTGTGGCCAGGCATCAAGGTTAATGACAGAGCTGTCAGCAGCCCTTACTGTAGCCCACTGAGCAATTGTGAAACACACACACACACACACACACACACACACACAGAATCGCACAGCACCAGATTTGATCCCATCTGTCTTCCAGCCCATACTCCATCTTTCCGGGGCTTCACTAGGTCTTCGTGTCCACTCTCCATCTTCACTCCATCACCCCCAGGGCCACCTTTACAGCCCGTACACAAACAAGATAAAAACCCTTGGGTTTATGATGAATATCAGGCTCATTGTACCGGACCCTGAGTGTGTGTGGTTGTTGTTGACTGAGTTTGTGTTGTTTAAACTGCAACAGATGTTTATTCCAGTTTTGATTCAGGTGTAATCCCTCTTGTCTCCCTGCAGCTAAGACACCTGGGTAATGACGAGGTCCACATCGTTTGGTCGGAACATTCTAGAGACTACCGGCGAGGGATCATCCCTACTGAGTTCGGAGACGTGCTAATCATCATCTACCCCATGAAGAACCACATGTACTCCATCCACATACTGAAAAAACCTGAGGTAAGAATGCGTTTAGTTTCGTCAGTGTTCCCTGAATTCTTTAACATTGGGACAAAGTTCCTGCAGGACGTTTAAATGTGTCATTAAAACCCAGGATGATAATGCCGTCCCCCTCTGGGCTAATCAGGGAAAACGACCCTCGTCACCTGTTGCAGTAATTGTGACTCATTGGCCAATCAGTGTAATGCCATCGCACAGTAACACAGCTCTATTGATGGCACTCCTGCATCTATTAGATGGCTTTTTATGAAACTTGCTCCAATCATTCATGATCCCCAGAGTATGATCCCCACTGAGTAATCCTCTCATGCCACCATCACATTTATGGTCTTTAGGGAAATATGTCAACAACTATTGTATGGATATTCACAAAATGTTGTACACCCGCTTTCAGGATGAATTGCAAGATCAACATTTTTATGTTTTCAATACTTTGGTTTATAATCAATTGCCCACAAGACAAATGACATCCTTATCGGGTGGCGGTACTTTGTGTTAAGGCCTAATCGGTACTAATTTCGAAAAATGTACTAAATATGTCACTTACTGTGACTGTATCAACATGCAATATTGATATTGTATGCTGCTCATGCTCTTTCTGCATATCATGTATTTCTGTTTGCCATGTATATAAATGTTATGTTCATAAATGTTGTATGTGACGGGACTACGGATGGAAAGCTAAAATCCGGCTAATTTACATTTCAAAGCATTATTTTGTTTAAAATGTTCATTAATGTGCATTGTCCCGGTTCAAATAAACGATTAAATAAAAAAAATATAAGACGAGACAAATGTACCAAACAAACAATCACCTCTTCATTTTTGGTGACAAAAAATATGAGATTTCTTTCTTTTTTCAGTGTGCAGAACATTTACGCAGAACTTTAGGTTTTTGCGTTTTGAAGAGCATGCTGACTCTGTAAACCAAGATAATGAACATGGCACACATTATACCTGCTAAAGCGTGTGTTCGTCATTCTGAACCACAATTATTTCTGCTCATACTGTAAGCCAGTTTTATTATGGCCACTATGTTTTCTAAACAGAACAACAAATGAAGAGAGACCAATCAGTCAACCAAATTAAACAATAATTATATAAATTAGAAATGAACACTCAATAACATAATTTCAACTGCAGATTAACATGGATATCATATAGAGTTTCAGTCAGTAAGCAGTTTGGTAATTTTTCTCAGCTCAGAGTGAGTGCTCTTTATTTTTGTTGGTACATTGGGGGTGTGTCCGAGTTAGCGCTCTGTGTTTATTGTGGGATCTTTGCTTACTGAGCTACTACAGAGTTCAACACAGAGGAGGAGGTGAGACAGATTAGTGTTGCAGTATTTGTGGCTGTCACACTTCTGCCCTGGGAACTAAGTCGTCAAAATCCAACTTGATAATGATAAGAAAAGACAAGCCTTGTCTTTTTATTAGGGGACCATAGCTTTGCCAAGGAATAATGAAATCATAATTGAGTTGCACAGTGTTTTGCTCCATACTTGAATGTTCTGTAGCAGACATTACAGATGCATCCAGCTTGACGAAACAATCCTAAAGAGTGTTCCACTGCGTTTTGCTGCTCTGGTTAATGTATCAGTGTAAAACACAGACATTAATACCACAGCACTGATAGCATAATTCTATTTCAAACAAGACCTAACACAATCAAATGCTGCTTTTTCTGTATGACATAGATACCACAGCACTAATAACATAACCTCATTCTGTTTCATTCATTCTACAAAAACTATTGAATTATCAAAAAAAGCAGTTGGATAAGATATTCTTTGTGTGGTCGTCCTGAAAGCACTGCATTCGGTCATAGAGTGCATGGCTAAGAGACCTGGTCTGAGAATGAATTCAATAAAAAGGCTTAACATTATTCTCTTTGCTAGATTCTACAAGCAATGACTGGAATTACATTTGACTTGTCAAGGTTGGTTGACTAAAACCTAGTGGCTCTTAAAGATTATTCATGAAAATATCTAGAATTGCAGTTCTTCAGGAGACTTGTATTGGAAGTAGATTCGTTATTAACTGGAAAAGCTCACTCAGAAGAGTGCAGATCTCCTTCAGGTGAGTCTCTTCCAAACAGAGGAGAATTCAATCTCACTTAATTGTCCCTCCAGACTCCGTTACAGTAAGATGACGCCAAAGATAACAAAAACGAGGATTTATTCATCTCGTATCGGGCCTTCCATTAGTGGAACATAACATATCTGGCATGGAGTTAATCTGCAGTCGCATTGGTCCAAATGAGATCAAACTTTTCAATGGATGTCAGTTTCTGAACACAGAGACAGGCCGAAATGAAGCCTGCAAAAGGATAGCTAGGACCAGTTTTAGGCCTAGCCAACAGAGTGGTCTAATAATGAGTCCTAAAACACGGAAATTAGTTTACTTTTAAACACTTCATGTTAGCCTTATTTCAAACCTGTTTTTTGATGCGTTTATAGTTAGAAACCTGAAATAAGGTCTGGGGTTAACACAAGCTCAAGAGAGTAACTCGTTTTCTTCCTACAACATCAAATATGTCAGTAAACACCCTGTCTGAAGCTTCTATGTGTCACAGAAATGGCTGTTGCTAACAAGTGACTAAATAATCGCCGCATAAGTCCGCCTTTAGCTTAGCGTTGGTGATGCACAGCCATGCGACCGCGATGTAAGTGTCTAAAATCCTTACGTTGGCTTTTAAGTTCTGCCGATTGCTTCAAAGCTTCAGAAATGAGTGTTAATAAAAACCAATGGGGAAATCCCATTGCTTTTGATGAAAGCTAACGTTCGGATTAAGAGAGAATGTATGGTAGCTACCTAGCTAAACGTTGTATTAAATAGTATAGTTTGTGCAAGATTTCCCTCTGTGTCCAGAAGAGTGTGTGTGCGATTATCTGCCCGCACTCGGATGACCAAACCCAGCTGATCTATTGTTCCTGCTTTAATAACTATTTCACGACTTCTCTTTGTGTCCCTAGGTGCCATTCTTCGGTCCACTGTTTGACGGTGCCGTAGTGGACATGAACATCTTGCCCACCATGGTCCGGGCCACAGCCATCAACGCCAGTCGAGCTCTCAAATCACTGATTCCACTCTACCAGAACTTGTATCCTTTCTAAGCCCTACTGAGCAAAAACAAAGCTAGACGCCAAAGGTAGGTCGCACTTTTATTTCTATTTCAGGGCTTACGCCTCATGGTCAGATCTTTAAAAGTGAGTTGTTTCTAGGTTTAAACTTGGATATACCTGTGCCATTGTGCTGAAGTCCTCACAGATGTAGCGAGAGTGTCGCCTCTCACTCAGCTCGAGTGTTAAGAATAACAAATCAATGTCCAGTGGGGTCGGGCTTTCAGAGTATAAGTGCTAGTTTGATGGAGCTGTATTTAGTCGGCTCTGAAGTGCCATATATCAAGTGTGTATGCATCTGTGTGTGCAGGAGAGAAAGAGAAATTGACAGACAGGTGTGTGTGTGTGTGTGTGTGTGTGTGCGTGTGTGCACGCAGTCTGTCTGCTTGATCCGATGTGATGGTAGTTTGGTATGAAAAAGCCAGACGGTCAATACTTATCGATGACTCTCCTCCCTAGCGCGGCTTCTAAACGAGGGGGCTTTGCTCTCTGCTCTCAAAAACACACACACACGTCCACACTTCTACACACTCTTTATCCTAGAAGCGCGAACAGACGATTACACCTGATAGCTCCACAGAGGCACTGTCATGCACATGCAGAATCACACACACACACACACACACACACACACACACACACACACACACACACACACACACACACACACACACACACACACACACACACACACACACACACACACACACACACACACACACACACAGTGTGTCCCCTGTTGAGGCGAGCTGAGCTTCTCACTGATCGTTGGAATTTCTTCTAAGCAGCACTTAAAGCAATTAGATTTCCTAATGGTACTTTCTTCCTGTCTGCCGGCCTGTTCTTTTCTCCTTCCCCCTAATTCCTGCTCCTCAAATCCAAATACATGACTTGTATTAGTGTCTTCGTGCCTGTACATGGTAAAAACTACAAATGGTATTCCACCAACTTAATATGAAATCCTTGTTTGGTACAGATTCTCTTAAAAACATACATAATAACAATTTTTAATTTTTATATTTTTTTTTCAATGATAATTAAAAGAACTTTTCAACAATGTTCATTCCCTCAAATCATATCGCAATTGCATTGTCTGTCAAATGACGCAATTAGTTATTTATTCCAAATTGCCAAGTCCCGTGCTGATTTCAAAAGACATTTCTTGCCCATAATGCAGCATTGTTGGGGACAACATATAGTTCTGTCCCCTGGACACATCAATGGCCAGTTTACTTGTTCCTTTCAGATTCAAATCCCGTAGTGCTCAGATAGGATTTCTATTTGTTAAGCGATTGTTTTACATAAGCTAAATCGCAATGTATTTAAAAAAAACCTGTTGTCACAAACACGTACTCAGCAAGTCTATTTACTTTACATTTCTTCGATCATTTTTTTTCAGGGGGCTTTATTTAGAACTTACAGCAGATAGACAGAAAACTGTGACTAAATAAAAAGTCTTCCTATCCTTACTTTTTTTTATTTCCTCTGTATCTCATATTCATTCTCCTACCTCCTTCCTGTCCTCTCTTTCTTTTGTCCTTCTTCACTTCGTTCCACCACTCCTTCGTCTTTTCTCTACTTTGGCTCCTGTTCTCCTCCCTCCCTTTTCTCCCCCCTTTCTCCTTCGTCAAAAAGATAATATAAGTAGTGGAGGTGACGCTGGGTGTTGGGGGGGGGAGAGGAGAGAAGTAGATTGAAGAAGCCATTTTGCTCTGCCACGTCCACCCGGCGACACAGAGAGATTGTTCGGCTGTGTGTGTGTGTGTGTGTGTGTGTGTGTGTGTGTGATGTGTGTGTGGTGTGCTGGTGTGATCCGTCGTGGTGTGTGCTGTGTGTGTGTGTGTGATGTGTGTGTGTTGGTGTGTGTGTGGTGTGTGGTGTGTGTGTGTGGTGTTGTGTGTGTGTGTGAATGTGTGTGTTGTGTGTTGGGGATGTGTGTGTGTGTGCTGTGTGTGTGTTGTGTGTTGTGTGTTGTGTATTGTGTGTTGTGTGTTGTGTTGTGTTGTGTGTTCTGTATGTAGGGTGTGTGTGTGGTGTGGTGGTGTGTGGTTTGTGTGGTGTTGTGTGTCGTGTGTTGTGTGTGTGTTCATGTGTGTGTGTGTTGTGTGTGTGTGTGTTGCTGTGTGTGTGTGTTGATGTGTGTGGTGTGATGTGTGTGTGTGTTGATGTGTGTGTGTGTGTGTGTGTGTGTGTGTTGATGTGTGTGTGTGTGGTGTGTGTGTTGGTGTGTGTGTGTGTGTGTGTGTGTGTGTGTGTGTGGGGTGTGTGCCCGGTCCCGAATACCATTTTCCGGGCTCCGGATATTCGGTAGTAATCAGCAGCGGATATTCGGCCCGTGTATATGTCTTAAGTGTAATTTGTCTTTGCTTCCTATTTTGTATGGACATGCTTTTATTTTGAAGGAGAGTTAGCACTGTTGACAGGAAGTTGTTGTTGCTATGGAAACAACGTGACGGAGATTAACGCAGAAAAGTCATATCTACATATAAAGATGGAGAAAGTAAACGATAAAGTGTATGGTTAAGTGTTAGCACCCCCGAAGAGGCACAAGCTCTTACGTTGATATTGGAGATTTCAATAAAATGGGTTTTTACATTGTGTGTGTGTGTGTGCCCGGTGACACATGTGCTGCGCAGGCCTGTTCGGGTATTTGTGTGTGTCTGCCGGTGTCCTGGTGTGTATTGATTGGTAGTAGCAGCAGGTCGATGACTGTGACAGGCTGAATTACAGTAATCAGTCATTATTGACTCCCCATCTCTC